CAGGCACTTACATTGATGGCAGAGGGAGACAAATTACAAAGGTTTTTGAGCTTCAAGGAGCGTCACAGCCTCCTTGCAACTGATTTGAAGGAACTCTGCTGCAAATAGTGGAGCAAAGAAGAACATGAGTTGTAACATGTACGTCTACAGGTTTTTAAATACTCAATGATTTTTCAAGGGCACAGATACTATGCATACACACATATTATCATCAGAACATGAAGTGTTACTTGTTTGAGATTGGTGGCATCTTTTTCACCCTGAAAAAGATTTTTCAGTCATTTTGAATTTTGTCATGGTTTAGGTCAAATTTTCAAGGAGAAGGTGTTCTATTGGCCCAACAGTTTGAGGCTAAAACCTAAAACATTATCTACTTTGTTATAATGATCTGTGTATGGATGAGTTATCTGGTTCATTAAATAATAATTATGGGTTAAAGCAAAACCAATCTTTTCTGGACTACTGGCAAGCAGCCATACCTTTGTGCAGCCTTTTCCTGCCATGTTTACTCCTATCCCAATCACCCCCTTGATCATGCATTTACTGAGCTAAATGGTTGTTGGGGAAGGTGCACTTTTGCCTGTCAGAGTGCTCTTCCTAATTAAAATAATTAGATACAGTGTCAACAGATGGTGCTGAAGAGCAGCATTTTTATCCTGGACTGCTGTAACATCAAGAATATTCCTAAGGAATTGCAACTGCTGCCACTGGCTGCTGTTTACATAAACTTCCAGTGACCTCTACTTCTGGAGATGTTTCACTGTTTCCAGACATCAATATGTAATAAATGTTGATATTTCTATAAAAACATCTTAACATTTCAAATAAACATGAAAATTTCATTTTGTACAATAATAATATGTCACTATAATTTTTTTAAGCCATCTTCTTTAATTCCTTCTTTGGAAGTTGCAATGTACTTTCAGTATATGTTGTCCACTCTTTCGGAGTACTTGGGAGGCTCTGATACTATGAGGTATGAGGACAAAACACACCTTTCACCTGCAGTCCCAGTGATCTTTCTGTCTTGTTGCCCAAGCTCTCCTCATGGTATTGACAGCCAGGGAGACCGTCTGAGGAGGAGCTGGTGAAATAAAGTTTATTTTGAATAGGGTGATGTCATGGGTTCAGTAATACTGACTTCAGGCCATACATTTAAGACAAAAGTATCACATCTGTTCCCAGCTGGTAGCTTAACAAAAATACATCAGTCTTGAAGGGCATGGAAACCTGCTCTTGGAGGCTGCTTACTCTCAGAGAGATCTGAGGATTCCAACCTTCTCTCTTCACACTTTATATATCCAAGAGTCAGCTCACGAAAAAAAATCAATGCCCCTACTTGTAGAAGAGATTAATTCAATATTGCTTCAAGAATTTAATATCAAGATTTTAAAGAGTTGCTGCAACTTAACTAAAACCTACACCTGTTTCCTGGGTTTTGCTGGGATACAGTTAATTTTTCCTAGTAGCTGATGCACTGCTGTGTTTTTTGCTACTGAACAATCAGATGCAATGTGTTGACCTGTGTTGTACAAGTAGTCAGATTTTCCCTTATGGCTCTTTTCTGTAAAATCTATAACTTTCAGTCTTGAATGCTCTTAGACAAGAAAAATTAAATTGTATCTGGAGAGGAGTGAAGGATGCACACTTTGGATACCACTGCACACAAATACTGTTGAATCAGCCATAGGCTTCCCATAGCTGCTAAGGAAATCTCTCTCTGTCTCTTCCATCTCTCACATAAATCTTAAAACCTTTCAGCTTGTATAGCCCCTCACTACAGACACCAATGCCTCTAAGAATGGGACACTGCACTTGGCTGGGGTCTCCAGACTTGGCTTGCTTCCACCTAAACCTAGGCACCCAAAACCAAGGGAGAGCCGAATTGCTCCCTTCAAGGACTGCAGTGAGAGAGCTCAAGAGGGTAAGACTTCAATATCTTGGATGCTGTTTGTCTAAAGAGCGTAGGTTTAGGTGTAGCCTCAAGCCAATCTTTAAAGTATGTAACATCACAGTTCATCATATTCTCATCAGGTATAACACTAAAATTGCCAACAGGCTGCATTTTGGAGAAAGACCAAAACAGTCACAGGTTCCTTCACTTTGCATTTTTAGGAATCTCCATCTGCTTGCTCAAATCAAAATTGCTCATGATTGATTGTGCAGCTTGTGCAGCTTCTCTCTGTCAAACTTCTTAAATTGATTGAAATAGATAGTTTCAAGACAGACATGTATAACACAATACATCTATCCCACAATAATATCCCACAATACATAGTGTGAATGAATGGTGCTGACAAGAACTGATATGCCTGTCCCAGATACCACATCATATAGAACTATGTGCAACTTACGAAAGGTCAAAAATCTTAAAATAGCTGACGTCCACAAGCCCATCTTCTCCTTCAAACTAGCACAGATAATGTCACCGCTCAATTACTGCCGCACTAATTTCTTTTTTTCCAACACACCGTGACATTTTGATGCCAGATAATTTTTGATGTCTTGTAACCCAACCTTGGAGGGAGGCTGGATGTCACACATTTTTATTTGGATTCTTGGGTTTAATGCAAGTGACAGCTGGATTTTTTTTTCTCCAGCATATTCCAATATTCCATAAAGATTTGTGTTAAAGACTCATCCATGCACCTTGTCTCTGAGGTACCAGAGGATCTGGCATATGTGATTCATTAACTGAACATTTGTTTCCCCAAGAGCAATACATGTGTCACTTGTGCTCTGAGGCAATGCATCTTTAACAGTCTGCACCTACTTCCTTCCAGTTCCTGGGAAAGACAGCAAGTAGGAGTGATGCATCCAGCCCCATTCCATGCAGTGCAGGTTCAGGGAGCCAGCACCCCATGCTGAGGACTTTGCAAGGTCAGGCTTCAAGTACTTCTTGTGCCCAGAGCTTGGACTGCACCGCAGTGCCAGTTTGTGATGCAGAGCTCTTCTGCAAGTCAACTTTGCCTCCTCTTCACCCAGGTAGGGTGGAGGTAGGAAATTTAAGGCAAGGAAGGGCAGGACACTAGGTGTGCATGACCACCAGCATGTAGCTGGCCACCATCCCAGGCTGTCAGAGGAGCTCCCTGCATACAGCAGGGTCACAAAGAAATGGAAGACACCCTGGGCATGGCAAGGGCATAGAGTCATTGACAGAAGGACTGAGAAAAAATATCCATCTTGTCCTTGCTGAAAGCTTGCAAGACCTTCCAGGCCTTCTTGGTGACATTAGCACACATCTTAACCTTAGCTACCTACGATGTGCCATGAAAATATTTTGTATGGCGTTAAATCATACTATATAAAATTAAATCACAGTGATTTCACTCTGTGAAACAGAGTTAGTTTTCAGTTCAGACTGTAATTCTGTCAAATTCTGTCACTAAGCTGTCCCAGTGTACGTGCTGAGGAATCTGAGCTGGATTGCCGCCCCACACTGCTCCCCTCTTTTTGTGGTTCAGTGTAAGTCCTGCCTGTCCCAATTTGATTGAATCAGATTTCAGTCTCTTATTAGAGTCAGACTTTAAAAGCCTTGGAAGAACAAATCCATAGTTAATAGGCTGTGCCTGGAACCTTATCCATGCTTTACAAAATTTTGGTTTCAGTGGTCTATATATTGAGAAGATGAGCTACTGCCTGAGCACTCACATCATACCACAAGACGATCCTGGATTTTGAAGACCGGCCAAAGTCTGAGTCAATACACGCTTCTGTGTATTTTCAGATAAAATCTATATTAGGTTACACTGATCATATCACACAGAGTATAAAATAAATACCATCCCCCCTCTAAAGGAGCATTTTACACGGCAGGGGACTCAAATGCTCTTCATAAAACATCAGCACCTCTGCACCCTTCTATGCACAAACCACTCAGTGAAAAAGCAATGCACGTTCCTGCAGTATCTGCTGAACCTTTGTTTTGCTATTGCTAACTAAAATCAGGTAACATTTTTCCCTGAAATATTTTGCTTGAATAAACTACACCAGAAGCAAAAATTTGATCGCCAATATCTTTATAAAATGTCACATTTTCTTCTAGGCAAAGCCCAGCCATTAAAACAATTATTTGGTTGGTAAAATTAATTAATATAATTTTGAGCAACAAAGAAATTCTAGCTTAAAAAAAATAAGCAAACCAACTCTTCAGCTGCTGAATACTTTATTTTTTTTAATTTATACACCTGAAATCCAAAGGCTTATACAAAATATAAAGTAAAATAAAACCCCAGTATGTTTTTGCTGATGTTAAAAACTGCAGTCTTGTGTTTTTTAATCATTTATTGTAAATATGAAGAAGGGGAGGAAAACTGCCAGTGTATCTACTGAAAGCACTCAACCTTTTGGATACCATGTCATTATTGTTGCAATGAGAGTTGGCTAAGACAATTCAATTTTTTCAAGAAATGTCAATTTTATTCAACTCTTCCAGCAGAAATGTGTCCTGTTTCATGAAGAAATTCACTGAGAGGTGAACTTCAGTTCAAAACTTTTTGCTGTCTCATCCCAAAAAGAAACCCACATTCAGTTCTTACTGAACAGAGCAAGGGCCTGCTTTTGCCTCCCCCACCTAGTGGGAATGCAGCAAACAAAAGGCCACTGAAAGAGAAATAGAAGGCACTATAAAAACACATATTCAAACTTCCCTTACTAGCAAAATTCAAAATAAAATACACTTAACCTCCCCAGCTGCAAGAGGAAGTGCAGCAATATGAAGAGATGAACATTTGGGCAAAATATAGGAAGCAAATCCTGCCGTAGAGGAATTAAGTCCACCAGCATGTGGAAGGTGTATGTATGGAATACAGCTTGCAGAACTAGGTCCTGTGAGAAGCTGAATGGCTTTTGCAAGATGCTACTTGAGGGTACTCAGCACCAAGGGGTGGAAACCACAAAGCCCTCTGAAAGCATCGTGCAGATTTAAGTCCCTAATGCAATATAAAACATATTTTGCTCCACTTAGTGACCTGAGAGCTTGCTTTGGCTTAGTTTTTTTTCCCAAGCATTTGTTGTTAAGTTAATTAAGCATTTAAAAATAACAGTCTCTAACTTTCCAGAGACTCCACATAAATACTAATCTGTCTTCTTCTAAGGGCCAGATTTTCTGCAAGGGCAAATCAATAATTTTACTGATTGAGGATCTGGCCTTAAAAGTCTATCCAGTGCATTAAAACCAGCGCAGCATGACACATGCTTTGGCAGTAGGACAGCTCTCCGGATTAATATTTCAGGGAAATTTTGTGATTAAAAAAGCAGCTCTGTTTGAAATGCTGCCATTTCTTTAATCAGTGCTGACCACCACAGTTTCTCCTCTTATGAACTGCACAGTTACGGTTGGAGTTTCAGTGTCATTCTCCTCAAGCTTTAGTCCGGCATTGTCCAAGCCAGTGCTCTCAGGCTGTGGTAAGGCAGTGGGTTCTGCTGTCCGAGTTGGAGTGGAGCAATACAAGATGAAGCCCACCATGATGATAACGAAGGACAGGATATAAAGACCTGAAAACTGGTAGAGGAAAGAAGGAGATGCATTAAATCTTGCCTGGTTGTAAAAACATGTCAACACTGCCTTGTTTTAAGAGTGTGAAAGCTCCCCTTCCTTTTAAAAATTATTTTAATGAGGATTATCACCATGACCTGGATTCAGGTCTGAAAATCAAAATTCAACAGTTCCATTTACTTAAAGACTTAAGCCTGCTGGCTGGTTTTCTTTTCATCTCATCCTCAACGTTGTTGGACAGGGAGTTTCCACAGGTCTACATACAAGAATCTTAACAGAGAGAACAAATGGCTTTAAATATGGTTATCCTGAAGGCCAGGTTTATACACATCAATGCTGAAACACTCTGTCCCTAAGAGAATTTTGATCTAGCCCAGCCAAATATTTAAGGTCCTGGCAAGAAAATAATCTCTCCATCTTACTGAAAGTCATCAGAACAGCTGGTTCTCTGCACAGATCTCTTAACCATCTGTAGGCTTTACTACTGGACCAAAACCAGTTTGCTCCCTACACCCAGCAAGTCCTCAAAAGGAGGGAGACTGGAGCTACTTTTACAAGATCAGCATTTTTGCTTGGTTAAGACTGATGTAAGAGTGTGAACTGCTGAGGTACATCAGGCATTTGATTCACTGTTGATGGCTTGCATGTTAAAATTTCAATAATTGCCAAAATTCGTCCACCTTGACAGAAAAATAAATGCTTATATCATTACACCTTTTATTATTGAATCTGGCATGTTAAGTTATTCACAGCCAGGAATACTTCTACATCAGATTTGTTAAAATTGTCCATATTGCCTTTTGTCAAACCACACTGATTAAACAGTAGGAGGAAGGACATAGAGTATCCTACATCCCACTGTCAATATTCCCTGACCTCCTTAGCTTCCTTAGACATGCTTGAAGAATACACTCTAGTCTATCAAGCAGCAGAGCTGGATGAAATGAATTGGAGTGCCTGGACAATGGACTCTGATCCAAAAAAGACTGAGGCATCTACAATTAAGGCATTGCAATTCCTAGTTGGCAGCCACTTGGCATGGAAGTGTTCACTCTGAACAGGAGGAAGCACCAAGCTCTGAACATACCCCAGTGGAGGCAGCAGCATCACCTGTGATCCTACCCCTGACTGACCCATTCCCACAAAATGGGCAGAGCTTGGGTCTGTATCAAATCAACTGCACAAATTCTCCAGCTTAAGGCCCTGAGTGAACATATGCCTGTACACAAGGACCTGGGCTGACAGGCGAGACTGGGCAGTCGCAGGAGCTGCAAGCCCCTCTCGCAGTGCAGCACACACAAGGCTGGAGGTGTCTCTGATACTACTGAGTTAATTCCTCCATGAATGGATAGAGTCACCAAGTCAGGATGCCAAATCTGTTGCAGTGTAGCTGATTATTCAAGGTCTGTTTATGTTTTTGCAGCTATTGACTCAGGTGAACCTTACCCACGCTGCTCCAACAGGCCTATGCTCTTTTTTTCCCCTTTTGTTTTTGAGGAGAGCTCTGTGTTCTTTTCCTGGAATTTTTTTTTCTTTAATTTTGATTTCCAATATCACAACAATTTCATTGCTTCTGATATTGATTTCAGTCATACTTTCTGCAGTTTATATCCCCATTCCCACTGTCAAGTCTAAAGACTACTTCACATGTTAGTGGAGGACTGTAACTCCATCTAGTGTCTAGTTGTGCAGTATACTCCCTATCACAGGAGTTTATATAACAAAAGCATTTGAAGGTCTTTTTTAATATTTCTCGAGGGATTAGAGGTATTTATATAATGAGTTCTTTAGGAAGCACAGCAAAGATTCATTATGGAATGAAAGAAAAAAAGTTCAAAACAGGCATGCAAAATTCACATTTCACTTTAAACTGGGGCTGAAAAGTCAAGCACATTATCAAAGTATTGTGATCAAACCAGAACCTTAACAATTCCTGGGCCTGGTCTCTGCTGTGAATATCAGCTGGTTACAGGGAATACAGAGCGACTCCTTGTATTTTTATTTGTAGATTCCTGTGGCCAGGGTGCTTTTTAATCCAGCAAATGTCCTGCCTGGTTTGTTTGTCCCATAGGTAAGGAAGGTATATGGTTAACTTGGCAATATGCTTTTCTGCTGCTGAGTATTATGTTAAAAGGCATGTCAAAAGCGGCCTCTCTCAGTTCACAGTGCCCAAGTTATCTCAAATCCTCTGATTACTAAGAATGCAGCATTACTATTGCTCCCCTTTTTGCTACTTCTCTGTTTCTAACCACAGATTCAAGTTCCTATTTCAAAAAATATCTGAAATTCCCTGAATACAATCCCAAAGTCTTCTCTAATTCATTTTTTCTTTTAGCTACCACCGAATAACCTGCCGTTAGCAATTATGAGATGGTATGCTCCTAGAAAAACTTCTCCCCAAAATAAGCCAAAAATCCAGAAGAATAAAAGTTTAATATATCCCTTCCAAAACTCTTCACTATTATGGATATAAATTTATAATCACTTCTCAAGTTAAGCTATCCGGGTGCCAAAATACATGTTTGGAAGTGACTTAGAAAGAATTTAATTGTTAGAATGTAAGTATGGTTTGCTTTCTGCATTCATTTTTAATGGATGCTTTGTAGCTTGGAGCAATTTTGGAACCCAAAACAGGGAGGAAAGCTGAGCTAAGAGACTCTTGAAAAGGAAAATCTAGCTGTTGCGAGACCCTACCATTACCAGACCTCTGTGCTGCCTTCACTTTCAGAAACAAATCTGACCTAAAAGCTTCTGGCTGAAGAGAAAGCAACCACATGGAATAACACAAATTAAGTTCTTCAGCAAAGCTCACAAGCTTCTCACTAAGCCCTCCCAGTCAGTGAGTGACTGACTCAATTACTCCAATTGCTTTAACAAGGTAGGTTCTCAGAAATGATTCTGGATGAAAAGTGCAGGGTGGAATGAAATCCTTTTAGCACTGTCATTTAGCTTGAGTAGATACTGCCAAAAATGTTTTAGAGCACAATAAAAGTAACTGCCTTTTGGAGATCATGCAGCATAATATATTTTTTCAGTTCCTTTGTATTATTCAGTTCCTTTTGTATTTTTTTCAGTTCTTTTAGTCTCCCCTTAGTGCTAAGATTGTTAACCCAAGACATTGGTAATGAACTGATTAAATTTCTAAATAAAAACATTAATTTCTGAAAATCAAAGTGGTCCTCTTTCAGACACCAAATGCCTGCCAGGACAGGGAGATTCAAACCCTCTCTTTCGACACTTGAAGCGATGAACCAGAACTAACATATAGTTCCATACTGAGCTTTCAGCAAGAACACTACCATTTGGACGCCTCGGGAGATCATTTACTATCTCTTAACATTAACTTATTCTTTCAAGTGTGAAATGGTTTGAAAATCACCCTCTGCCTAATGGTGCAATGCTATGTCATTAACTAAGCACAACTCCTTATTCACATCTGCCAACAACGAACAATACAAGCTGTAGAACCGTACAGATGCAAAAAACTGTTCTGGGGCTTTTAAGAACATTATGCTTTATTTATAATTTTGGAGTAGAAGCATAACTGAAAGAACGTGAAAGTGAAAGAATGAATGTACTTACCTTGTAATAGAAAAGGAAAAGCCCAAAGAACAGACTGTAGAGATCTGCAGTCAGAATACCCAGGTTGACTGAGGTTGCGCTGGTAACTTTAATGACAACTGGCATGAAGCTGTACAGCCCAAACATGCACAGGGCAAAGACTGTGAACAATAATGCTGTAAAACAAGACAACAAGTTACTCCTCAGGCACAGAACAATGATTTTAAAGAACACTGATAGTTTTCAGATGCTTTAAAAAGATGCATTTTTATCTTTTAGGATAAGGTCTCCTAAAAGATATGGTAACATACACGTAAGAAAAACACAGAAGCAGTCCTTTTCCAAGATTACCTTGTACTGCAAGAATTACTGCATCTGTACAAGAAAGTTCTCGTTCCTTTCTAGATAACATTAAGAGCTGACTGAAGAAATTTGGAGCCGTATTTCTTGATAACATTTAGCTGTTAAGGTCAAAATGTAATCACAAAATCAATTTTTCCAGTATTTTATTTAGGAAGGAAAACAGAAAATGTTCTTGAGATGTTCCAACACCAAACACCTTAGTAATGAAACAGGTTTAATTTTTAATTATTTCAATTTATTTTAAAAAATTATTTCATGTTATATGTAAAATGCAAGACCTGCTTTAATGTTCAATCCTGCAAACCTTATCTTTGCTGAGCTACAAAGTTTGCAGAAAATATATTTGTGAAATATAATATTAATGCTGCTTAATATTCCAAGAAAGAAAAGGCAAATCCCGGCATTCAAAGTCTAAATCTAATTTTCCAGTGTTCTTTAACATTCACATCATTTTTTCATACACATACCAACTTTCCAGTTCCACTGAATTCTCGTTATCTCCTTATGTTCCACAATGGCTCTAGAAATAGAGAAAAGATATAATGCAGTAAAAAAGGGAAATAAAAATCATTTTCAAGTAGAGAATTTAATTACCAAAATATATAAGAAACATTTTGATTTATAATCCCTTAATTTTTTGTTTGAAATTTTACTGAATGACACAAACATCTAACAGGCATGAAAAAAAGACTTGAAAATTAAAGTGCCTGAAAGTTAAGAGCACTGTTATTTAATTCTTATGCCTTTTTCACAGGCTTTTTAATTCCTCGAAGATTTAGTTTTATTTGATACACCATTTGGAGAAATTATTAACCATAATGATAAGAAATGAGTAACATAAAATTCATCAGATAGACTTAAGTGCATGTGGTCTGTTACTCTGATGTGGTTATTTGTAAGAGTATACAAGGCTTCATTTTAAACTTGAGTTTAATATGAAAGATCTCCTAACAATTATCTCCTAAAGTTTTCCACAGAGAAAACCCATTAAGAAATACATTCCTCTCAATAGCCCTCAGCATACTGAGAGTTCTCATGAACATAACAAAATCAAAAATACAGCCAAGTATCATATGTGTTCAATTGCAGGAGTTCAGTTTTAGAATTGCTGTAATAAGACCAGTGCAAATAAAAAGGATATAAAATGGATGCTGATCAGCAACATAAATCAAGTGGAAGGACTCCCATAAAGGCCAAATGCAGATGTAACAAAGATTTAATTAATAACAGCATTTCATGGTAGACAAGCAATCATCTGTAGAATATTCTTAATTAGTTTCAAAATAAATATTAGATCCTTACAGCTGTAGACCGCTGACAATAGTCCCAAACAAGCCCACCATTCCTAGAAACTCCACTCTGCTCAGATTTTTCACAATGTATTCCTCACTCACATTAGAAATGGCATACAAAGAAGCACCAAGAAGCACTAAGACATCTCCAATCACCACGTCACTACCTGTACAGAAATATTAATCCACAATTAAGGGTAAGGGTGCAAACACTTTTTAACTTTCCTTAAAAAGACAAGCAAATTTATCTCTAACATCTCTCCCTTTCTAGCACATTCAAGGGTAAGGGGAAAGGAAACACCTCCTGCCTGTGCAGAGGAGTGTCTGAGCACGGACTCTGCTGCCTGCTCACCTCACGCTGCACAGTCTGGAATAAGGAATGAGCTAAACCCAGCATTTACATCTCATCCTGACCAAGACACTGCTGTACCATCTGGTCCAGTCCTATTTCTGCTGACCTTGGGCACTGCAGGGAGTAGAGAAAATTCCTGGTTAGAAATGCTCTCTGCCTTTCATTAATATTGTCACCACTTTTGCCATAAGGCCTGAATCAAGTCTCACTAGAATCAATATATCGATTTTGATGGGACCCAGACTCAGCTTCAGGTTTATAACAGGCCTTAAGTGGGCACTGTAGATGGGTGGTACCACGTGTCCTGCTGCTATTTATACTGTGCAAAGGGGACTCCCTGTGCTACAATCACTTACCAAGTAAATGCTGCTAAAATAGTTTTTTAAATCCTTGAATTGATTTAAAATTTCCTTTCCTAAGCCAGTTGGCAATCACTAAGAAAATATGTCTAAGATATGAGGGTAAGCAGTAGTAAGGATCCCCAGGTCAGCAAATAAAGTACAACTGTCCTAAAGTCTCAGGGAAAGATATTTCTCCCTCAGGACCAAGATGCTTGTACCACACGGCAGTAAAGCTAAACTTCAGCTTGTTCTGTCTTCCCTACTAAGGTCAATAATGCCACACAGGCTTATCTCTACGCTGCTTTATAAAGACAATGCCCTGAAATTTACCTTGTCCCATACCCTCTGTCTGAAAATTCAAGATTCTTATTCAAAATAAGATGACTACAATATGGGTTGATTTGGGCATCTGTCACAGAGAAGACAAGTCCTGCCCTTAACTGCTGCACCCAGCTGAATCCTGGTCCCCAGAGCCCAGCCTTCCTCCCAGAGGCCCCAGGAATCCCAGCATCCTGCCCCATCTCCTCTTGCTCTCCTATAGTAAGCCCCTGCTTTCCAGACTGCAGCCTATGGGCCTTGGGGATACATCAACCACTTCTGTTGGGTCTGCCAAAGATAACTCAGAGAAGTCAGCTGCTGTGGGCAACTTTTTATTTGGTATTTGTACTCAAAGAAAACTGCAAATCAGAGAAGACTGAGTACCAGCAGGCTGATACTGTGTAAGCAAGACAAGGTTTGCAGGGAGAGGCAACTTCTTCTATTAAACCATCTCACATGATAGTCAAAATTATCAAGCTTTCAAGAATGAGACTTCTGTCACGTGTAACGGACAGCAGTAAAATTTGAGCTTAACAAAAGTGTTTCTCTTTTAAGGTAGAAGAAATAATCCAAACACACAAGCAACGACATTCCACAGCTCCCCATAAAATCACCATCTCCTCTTCCTGGACAAGAAATACAAATAGCAGTATGTTCTTTCTTTTAAAACAGAACTATATCCGCTCCCCCTGCATTTGCTCTTCTCTCTGCTTTAGAAGTTAGCCCACCATAGGAACCATCTCTCTGGTCTTCCCCCCCGCAATAAAGTACTCCTTACCTTCACTGTCCTGCCTCCCTGCCAAAATGTCTGCACCCACCATTGTTCCTACACCAAGCAAACAGACGGCAACAGCAATAAAATGTATCAGCCTGTATCTTGCTCGGAGAACGAACCATGACAAAGCCATCAGCACAGGAATCCCAAAGCAGTCCAGCAGCTGTGTGCACAGAAAAATTGTTTGAGTTAGAAATGCACCCCAAATCTGGACTGCAACATCCTGAAAGCAAGTGTATAGGATATTACTTTCCATCAATTGTTAATGAAAACTGCAAAGCAACCTCAGTAGATGTGTTTAGGAGAGGGGTGAGACCATGGAAAGCATTTTGCAAGTGATGAAGAAGCTGGAGCAGGGGTCCACTCCCTCCTGGTAGTAAAGTGCTGACTTAGAAATTCTTCTAATGATGGATCTAATAAAACTTCACAGCTTCACAAATGAATTCTAGGATGTCGCTCTTAACGAGCATTGCTCCCCACTGCTCCACGTACACAAAGTAAAAATCTGGAACTACTGATGGATACAAGTAATCTGATTTTACATGGAAGTGACTAGGACAAGAATCTGACCCTACAGCTCAGCTGCATCATACAAAAAACCAGAACTGATACATGTGCTGGAAACCACGTGCAAATTGGTAGAAATAACATAGGTAGCAAAAACAGCTGTCCTTAAGTCATCTTCCCAATCTCCCAGCTTCCCACAAAAACACATACAAGTCATCAGTGCATTTTCATCACTCTGTCAGAGCTGACTCTCAATTAGTCAGAAGCAGGTAACCCACTCTAATTCACCCATGCCCTAGCAGCAGAGATGCACAAGGCACCTGGAGTTTTGGAGCACTTCAGATGTGTTTGCAAACACTGCCCCAAGCAGACTGAACTTCTGTGGTTCAAGGACGTCTGTGCTCCATGACAAGCAGTGACACTGACTTCTCTTTCCTTTCTTTATTATCCTCTCTGTACATGTTCCTATGTATCTTTACCTTGCTGTTAGACCCACTCATAGAATCACAGAGCAGTTTGGGTTGGAAGGGGCCTTAAGGTTCATCTAGTTCCAACCTCCCTGTCATGAGCAGAGACACCTCCCACTCAACCAGGCTGCTCAAAGCCCTGTCCAACCAAGACTTGAACACTTCCAAGGATCTTCCACCTTTCCTCCCTCAGTACAGAAAGCATCAAGAGTTAGCTGTGCATTGCAGCATATGAAGGGCATAATACTCTAGAATAACCAAATAATACCATGATCACTGAGCTAATCATAAGTGGTTTAATATTTAATTCAATTAAAAAGATTTTGTTTCTGAATTTGTGTAGAAGAAAGAAAATGTCTTTTTCCTAACCTGCCTTTGTAGAGTGCCATGAAGTTACACAAGGGAACAGCCTAGAGCAGAACATACAGTTAACTTCCCAAAGACTGCTCACAAAAGACTCTCAAATGTCAGCCCTTAAAACTTGGCCTCTTGAAGTCCCAACAAAGTATAAGGTCCAGGTCAACAGGACTGTGGCATAATCACTGCAATCAAGACAAGAGCCCTTAGTCCTTAATGTCTATTGCCAGCCTCTGCTTGCCTAGGTGTACCACTGCAGTCAACTTATGTGCCGGCTTCCAGTAGTTCAGCCATTATCCCCAAGGGCTTTAACCAAATTTTTTAACATTCTGGTGATGATATGTCTGGTTTTACTTGTTCATAACTACACATAGTAAAGTCTCCCAAGCATAGTGTTAAGGGAAGCTATTACAGATTAAATTCTCATGGTGCCTCTAATGTTTCCATCTCTTTGTCTTCACTCCTTGGATTGCCTTCAGCTGGTTTGTAAAGTCTGTTTGTGAGGTGCAGAAGTACTTGCCTAGGCTGTATTATGAGATATTACAACTACCCAAGTCCCAATATGTGATACCAAGTATTTCATTACAACTTTATACTATGGAAAAGTATCATGCTGTGACTATCTTGTCACAGGTCTTGTTCTCTATCTTACTTTTAGTCTAGACTCAAGAAAAACCTTCTAACATTTCCTTCAAATTCGACTGTTTTGAATAGTATCAAACAACAAGAAATATTACAAACATAAGAAATTAAAATTTTTATCCCCCTAGTGGTAGACATCTCTTCTATTAATAAGTAAGCATTCTCATCCCCATTAAGTGAAATGTTAGCACACAGCCTCACAGCCTCCAAAGCAGCTTTTCAACCCAAACAGAAGGAGCAGAAGAAAAATCCTTAAAAAAAAAAAAAAAATTCTTAATGAGGATGTAGGGGAGCAGTACATAATGAGCTAGAAGTCTTTCAGTTACGCCAGATGGGGAATTGTTGCATCCAGTACAAGAACATATGGTAGAGCTCCAGCATCCTGATTAGACGACTTGCAGCCAGGACACACAGGCACCAAATGATGAAGAACACATTCTGGTAATCTATTTCAGGAGACAATTACCCTCAATTACACACAAATGAAATCAGATTTACAACTACTGGATCTTGCCTTCCCTTCATCTAGGACATTACAGAGCTCTTCTGTACAGGATCAAGATCAAAGAGGTGCAAAGCAGATGTAACATCACAATGAATTGTGTCAATGGAACCAATTAAAAGAATAAAGTTTATTTATTCAGGTTTTATTATATTTACAGCAGTACTGTGGTACTGACTACTATTGCCAGTAGAGCCTCATCAAATGCTCATCTTATTCAATTCCAGCCTGTATTTTCACAAGTGAGGAAAAAAAAAAAAAAGATAACCTGGTGATTTGATTTACAAATGTTTTGACTAAAGCCAGGCTTTGGCCACACTGTTTATAGGAGGTTTTAAAGATAGGGTGAGTAAATTATTAAAAGACATTTTAATACATGGTTAATAAATTATCATAGACTGTTGGAGGTCACTGGTTTGCTTATAATTGCCAGCTCCAGACAGCTTAGTAAGCACGAAAGCTCAGCTGACCATCCTGCTTGCTTCCTCACAAGGCTCCCTCAGGGCAGCCACAGCTGAGCCCCAGGAGCTCATCCTGCATTTCCCCCTTTTCCATCAGCTGATATTCTGTCAATAATTGCCTTAAAAATGCTTCCATTCAAATTATCTACAGAGCAAATGCTAAATGTGCCAAATAACATGTTAAAACATGAAACCACAGCTACGCAGCTTGTTTTTTGCTATAAAATGATATAATCACAGAATACTCTGAGTTGGAAGGGACCCACAAGGATCATTGAGTCCAACTTCTGGCGTTGCACAGAACAGCCCCAAGAATCACACCATGTGCCTGAGAATATTATCCAAACACTTCTTGAACTCTGTCAGGCTTGGTGCTGTGACCACTTGCCCAGGGAGCCTGTTGCAGTGCTCAGCCACCCTCTGGGTGAAGCACCTTTTCCTAATATCCAACCTAAACCTTCCATGACTCAGCTTCACACCCTAATGTGTGGCCAAACAGCAGCACAGTCAAGTCCTGTCACAAGACAGGACATCGGCAGCAAGAACTCTCCTGGCACTGCCTCAGCCACAGCCAAACAGGAAGAGTTCAGTTGTGGACCAAAGTCTTTTTCTTTATTTACAGAGAAATGAGAGCTGCCATCCCATCGTTATCTCCTAAAAAAATCTCCCAACCTCCTTCTGTGAAATGCTGGTATTTGATAACTAAAGGGAAATCAGTTCTGCTTTTGTGTGCATGTGGGAGAAAATACATGGAAGTTCCTTGCTGAGCTGAGAAAACTTACCTTTGAAGTTATGTTTCATAGTGCTGAGCTGAAGCTCCAGCCAGTCAGCATTTTAACAGTGTATTTCCCTGTATTTCCCTGCATTCCCTGTATTTCAGAAGATGCCATATACCCCTGTGTCACTTTATGCTCCCTGGGCATCCACTCGTAGACAGTACTGCAGACAGGCCATCAGACAGGGTGCTCTGAACCACAGGTTCAGACGTAGTTGCAAAACTGCTTGCTAATGACAGAATGCCTCGCACTAAAGCAGATTACAGGCTTTCGTTTATTTTTTTTTCCCCTACTCCTGTATCTCATTTCTGAGAGAGGTGAAAAACTGGTGACTTTAGAGAATGTGAAAGAAACCTCATGGCAACAGGCAATTACAACAAAATCGAAATTACTGAACTGGCACAAAGCAGCATCAGTCTGAAGGTAACCAAAAGGAAAAAAAGGCTCAGAAAATGCTTGAGTTTGGCAACTGTACAGGAAAACCTATTACATCTATTCTTTCTTAATTTCTGTGAAAGAAATCATGGGAATAGCTTTACTACTTCTGAGAACTTGGATCAAAGTCCTGGCTTTTTAACCAGTAAAGTGTATGATCAAACAGTGTTTCAGTTATCAGCTTAACTTGATCTTGAGACTGAAACATGTTGCTCTTAAAGCTTCAATTTCTTTGGCATTATTTGTCAGGAAATTAAAGGCCTAAAGAGTCCTAACACCTAAGTATGAAGTGGAAATGTGACAGTAACAACCCAACAGGCACCACTGGTCTTTAGGAGTGTAAAGAGAAGTTACTGCACTTCTCTACAGAGAGCCCAGATCGCAAGAGTTTATTGCTTTACAGGTAATTCTTTTAAACATTAACCCTCGTTACTTTGACTCTGTAAAACACTGACACCTAAACACTCATTTCCAACTAACAGCCAAATCGGCACTTTACATTGGTTTTTTTATTCAGGTCATGACCCCAGCCACAGATCCCCAGCACAGGTACCAGCAGGCATGAACTGGCACGACCTGGACACACTCCCTCCCTGCTTGTGCAACATCCCCTCCCCTGTTACCACAGCAGCCACAAAGCTGGGCTTGACACAGCTCACTAACAGGTCCAGCCTGTAGGGTTTAGTCCCACTTTGCTCAGTGCCCTGACCAAGTCTGCTCAAGATATCTGGCCATGCAAGCTCAGGAGCATGCAGTTGGAGGCAGGAGGAAAGCACTGACTCCCCCAGCAGCTTTTGTCTATATAGGGTGACAGAGAAATCCCAGCCTTAACCCTTCTGTTTGTAGAGCTGTTTCAGAACACAAGATTTATCCTAGCGCAGCAATGCAGCATCAACTACTAGTGTTGCAGAGGATGTCTACCATTAGTTTAGCCGTCTGGTATGGTGACCTCCCTTCTGCCCCTTCCAGGGAGGACCCTGAAGTGCCACAACCAAAAGACACAGGGCTGGTCCCTCAGTGCATGGTCAGCAACACCAGCTAACTATCAGTATGTCCTCATACATGGGGTTACATCTCACAACACCTCCCGCAACTTCCAGGAGTAGGCAAGAGACAACCTACCTTGCTTTTGTCAGCAAGAACCCGCACTGAGTGACTTATCTGGTCATAAATCTTTATTTTGTGTCAGGAGAAAAAACTGAGTGGCTGTCAGCAAACTCTTAGAAGTGCTTTTATCAAAATAATTAGAGTTCAGCTTAAGAGCTGGCACAGGGCAATAATACCAGCTAATTTTCTTTCCTTCCTGGAAAGGTTACTCATGATACAGGATGCTCTTCCCTGTACTGCAAAGCAAAAATAGATACTGGAAAGTTCTTTTCAGTTTAAATAGCTTCCATGTCTGCGTTATGAATCTCATTTTAGAAACTAGTCCAAAACTGCAATAAAAGCAACAGTTAAAGAGAGATCAGTCCTTACCTGCACACTTGTGAGGGTTGTATATTGGTAGGCCCTTACAATCATGTAATTGGCTTCAACATCAGCCACTCCCAAAAAAATATACTTCCACCACCTCTGTTTCAAAATTTGCCAAAGACTGTCACCACCTGTTAAGAAGAAAGCAGTAATCAATATGTGTTTCTTTCCAACCAAACGTTGCAAAGGAACTTTGCTTTTTAGAAGCATAAATAATACTGAGATGTTTGACTTTGTCCCTGCTTAAGAAAGATACACTGACATCAAAATGCAGCCTGGGAGGAGACAATGAAAATGGGTCAAAAGCACGGAAATTCTTCCACATGAGGAAAAACCCAACAAAACTGGAATTGTTTAAAGAGTAAATTAACAAGACTAGGAAGACTACTAAATAGCCTCTGGTAACAAAGCTTGCTACAACATAGCCTATTTTCCCTAATATAACATTTGACTTCAAACAAAAAAGCACAAAACTTTAAACAGATATGAAATTAAATGCACATTTTAACCAGTGAAATTCATTTCCGTATGTTATTAAAAAGCATGAACTTTAAAAACTAGTATGAGTATTGAGTTCTGTAGTTTCAAATTCTGAAAAGAAAATGTAGGGGAAAAAAGAAAAAAAAAAAGAAGAAATAAAAAGATAAACCAGAACCTCCCATTCCATATTTCACATACCAGTCCTAAATGCCAGCATTGTTGTATAAACCAGAAGCAGCAAAGCATAGTTGATGAAACTTTGAAACATTGGAGTATTCACTTCGTATTTTTCTGCTAGGTACTGGCTTGTAACAGCAGTCCCACAGATAAACAAAGAGAGCATCTGGCCCAGAATTATTGTTTTCAAAATATGCCTGTGAATATAAGACAAAACAGTAAGTTTAGAATTAAACATTCAAGTTTCTAAAAAAATATTTGCTAGTTGTACAGGGAAAATGCCAATTTTTTTTAGATTGGCACTTTGTTCTTTTCCTACTCCCTACCAGTGTGGTTCTGATCTACTGGTAAGCAGAGCTTTGGATACACAGAAGATCTAGTCTAACCTCAGGAGAGCCATGTAAGAAGTGAGACCAGTCAAACCACCAGTGATGGAGACTGCAATAATTTGCAAGGATCTTCGAGCACCTCAGCTAGTCAGACTCTACCTAATAGGAGGTTCTATTCTTATTAAGACAGCTTTTTGAGTCAAATCCTTTGTCCTCCACTGAATTTCATTCTAACTTTGGAGCCGTGGTGAGACTATTTAGCACCCTGTCCAGTAGCATCTTGCAAACCTCCACTGATGGGGACTCCATCCCGGAGGAAGTTGTTCCACTGATTGTTCTCACCTTAGGAAAAAAACAAAACAAAACAAAAAACCTTTCTTATAATAAGAGTTATTATAGTTAATAATTATTGTGGATTTTTTTCAGACATATTCCATCATGTTCTGCTGTAACCAAGGATGGAGTTAAGAATGCACTTTGGGTAAGATGATGTTTGCATTTACAATTCCTCTTAAGTTGAACCCACAGCTAGGGAAAGAGCCAAACAAACCCCACTCTTTCAGTAGCAATTTTTCATCTAATATAAAATGAACTATTTCAGATGCTCCTAGAGAAACAGGAGCAAGTAACACTGTATCTTACAGCTTGCTGTTTATCCTGCCAATGGAGCTATGCAGATTTGTACTACCCCAGTCTCTGCATACACAATATACTGTGACAGGAGCTCAGCCCTGTGCTGCCTGTACATTTAATTTGTTTACTCTGAAGACCTATGAGAGTTTAACTGTCCACACAATTGATTCACTTGCTCCTACTCAGAGTAATTGAGCAAGGAAAGAAAGGATTCCATTAGGGTTCTGCACATACCCTGCTCACATCTCTCCACACAATGACTTCTGGCAGGACACTCATGGGTCAGACACACCACCTAAGAGTAACACTGTTTCCCCCAGATGGATGGCTTGAACATAGTAAATATCAGCTCACCCTGCTATGCTGCCCAGTTCAGCTGCCAGGCAAGAAAAAAAACTTTGAAGCTCCATCACTTCTATTATATGGGTTTTTTTATACTGGTCAGTGGTCTAATTGTGCTATTTGGTGAACGAATCAAATGATTGTGACACATTCTTTCTAATTATGCTCACCATGTTCCAGCAAGAGAGTAAAATCTGCTGCCATTCAAATCTGCTAAAGATTGAGCTGCTTTACTGAAAACAAGAAAGACCCGGCTGCCCTCTTACAGTGGAATAACTCCACTAAGCTGCTCTTCATCTTTTCTAATTATCAAGTTTCTCCAGTTTAAAGTACCTCAGGAATTACTTCCTTGTGTTTCTGTATATGGGAAGAGATGCAGGACCAGAACCTCCAGAAATGTTTTGCTTTGTGGTTACTACCCAAGCAATCATTGCTGTCGAGGTAATGTCTCAGCAGTCCTATAGCATTTAATTCTATAGTACCAAAGGCATCTGACAAAGCAAGCAGGCTTCACTGCACCTCATGACCTTCTCTATTTTCCTCTGTTTTAATTCAGGGTTTTTTCTTCGTCCCTGACGACATTCAAAATGTTAACATCAAAAGAGACACAAAAGGACATTGTTCACTGACAGTGAAAGGCTATGCTCAAAAAATGTCTTCTATGAATCCCCAAATACCACATACCTCGCAGCTTTCTCAGCTGTGTATAAGATAACAGTCTCTTGCTCTGACTGCCCTCTAACACCACATTGAAGCCTCTGCAGGAAGCAGCAGTAGTTTCCCCTAACACCACTTGCCAGAGCGTCAAAATTAATTTCTTCAAATTGAAGTGATGGTGCCATGCTCCTGGCATGATGCACTGGACTCACATCTGTCTTAATAAAAAGTGTTTGACCCTCTATAAAGTTTGAGAACAAACTTTAAATACTAAATTTTGCAAGACAATTTGTCCTGAGAAAAATGCTTTGAAAACATGAGTTTCCATTCATCTCAGTATTGACATGAGTATCGATGATGGGGATTTTCTTATTAATAATTGATCATATTTTGAAATATATTATTAAATTTTTCATGCCAGAACTTGATCCTCTCTCCCTTTTTTTTTTTTTTTTTTTAATGCATTTGAATGGACTAAGTCACTTTGTACTCTCAGATGATGCAAGGTAAGTGGTCTGAAAAGGCCTTTTATTTTTATAGTTGGGGGGGTGTTGTTTTTTAATGATTGGTATCTGGCTACTAAGCAATTACTCCTCCCCTCCCTTCAGCCACTATATCTTAGCTAGCTGTATCTATGGCTTTGAGCAAAACTTGGAGTCATTTTGGGAGGTTTTGGAGCATAAAAATTTGCCACAATTTGGTCTAAAGTGAACACTGAACAATATGCAGCTCTCAACATCATAAGAAAAGTCAGGCTGGCTTTCCTTGGCTCCACGTGAAACGCAGAATAAAAATACACCAAGATACTAAAATACAATCAGAGTCTATGTCTGTGGAAGTTAAAGAAAATCTAATAAACCCACAGTTAACAATTTTATTGGCTACTAGTTTACTAAATCCTATAATTTTAATGTGATTTTTTAAATTAAAATAAATAGACCTTTTCAAAAGTTAGTTTTACTTATGCCACCAATTAAACACTAACAGGCAAAGCCTGGCAACACTCTACACATAGAGAGTCTACGTGCACTTATTTTTAACTATTGAACCCTTCCTAAATCGGGAGGAAGTTACCTTTTAATGTCAATAATCTCACCTTTTCACGTGAGGAATGGAAATTTAGTTAGTTAAAGGAAAAGTGCAGGTTCAGACAGAACCATATTGCAACATAATTAGCACATAGCTCAGGACTACCAAATATATTTTTAAAAACTATTGTCATCACAAGTTATTGTTTTGCAGTGTTCTGCTTTGAAACTGAGGTCAATTTAATTTAACAGAAAAGACAGATTTCTTTAATTCAAGCACCAGAAATATACTTTCTACTGGTTTTACTCAAAAACAAAACAAACACACCAAAGAAACAAACAAACAAAAAAAAAAACAAATAAAAACCACAAAAACACACACACAAAAACCCCAAAACAAACAAAGCAAACAAAAGTCCAACAACCTACAACACTTCACAAAATTCAGTGAAAGCACTTTATTTTCTTTCAAATACCATCCACAGACTTAATTGGTGTAGCCCTCTGTTAAAACTAACTACCCTAGGTGAGGTTACTGAACAGTTCAACAAATTTCTATCTTGCCTTTTGGGTCATTCCTGACAGTCAGAAAGAATGAAAAGAGAGAAACTTGTATAACCAAAAGAGAAAGCCAAGCTTTGCCCCCTGGAACAAAGCTCTGCTTGGCCAGCAGTCACCTTCACACAATCCAGTTGCCCAACTCCAGCTTACGATGGAGGCATGAGGCTGGTAGGAAAGCCACTACATCCTTGGCTGACAAAGAGGAAATCTGATGCAATAATTATTAGAGACCAAGCCTATGGCCTAGAGCTTGGAGATTACTTCCTCCCCCCCCACAAATGGAAACTGACGCTCTAAGCAGATGTAGCTCTAGAAGGCTGAGGAGGTATTCCTGCTCTTGTAAGAGTGCAGGAACGCAGTGCTTCACAAGTACCAGCTTTAGAATACATGCTATGCCTGCACAGCTTGACAATTTTTTTTCCAGAAGTTTTCCATGCTTAACCAGTATCTCATATTTCAAAAGATATACCTGAATAGGTCTCTGCCCTAAACCAATTCAAGGAAGGAGGGAAAAAGGATATTAGTCTTTCTGGACTACACACCTCAGCTCAGCTATTTTGTTTTGTTGCCTTCCCTGCCATCTGTGACCTGTTCTTCACAACGAAGCGGATCGAAGATTACTGAACACATAGAAGTACAGGAAAAAAGAGGGAAGCGGAAAAGTATTAAGCCAGAATTACTTAAAAAAAAAAAAAAAAAAAAAGTGCATGTGTACAGATACGGGAGTGCACTCTGACAACGTCAGACACACCACTCGCTAATTCTACACTCCTCTCAGCTGAAGAGACCCTTGGCGCTCTCGTCCAGCAGCAGCCGCAGGCTGCACTCAGCCGTGCTCCGGCAGCAGCCCCGGCATCTGAGCGCCCCTCACCCGCGGCGGTGCCAAAAAGTCCCCGAGCCACCTCTGCCGGGGCGCCCGAAGGGTCCGGGCTCTGCCCAGCCCGGCCGTAACCCCGGGCCCGCACCGAGGCGGGTGCTCTGGCCGGGGCACCACGCGGCTGCTCCCGCCGGCACCGATCGGCCTCCGCATCCCGACCGCGTTGTCGGTCAGCGTGCCGAGGGGAGAAGAGGGACCTTTCTCCCTTTGTCCCTTCATTCCCTCCCTTCCTCCATCCCTCTCTCTGGAGGCCGGCGATGCGCGGCTCCACGGGGAGGCCGAGGACTCACCAGGTGCAGAGCTTGGCCCCGAGCAGCGCCAGCAGCCGGCGCGGGGCGGGAGCGGCGGCCCCGGGCGGGGGCTCGGCCATAGCAGCAGCATCAGCAGCAGCTGCCGCCGCAGCCCCGGGCGGGGGTGCCCCGGCAGCCGCAGCCGCCTCCTCCATGGCCCAGCGCTGCCCCGGCCCCACGCCCGCCGGGAGCAGGCAAGGAGGGAGGCAGGGAAGGCGGACGCTAGCGAGGCGGCGGAAGGAAGGGAGGGGACGGAGGGAGGGATGAGCAGCAGCGGCGGCGGGACGGCGGCACACAGCGCTCCTGGCAGGGGCCGAGCCCGGCTTTGTGCCCGCCAAGGGGCCGCCCCCGGGAGGGGCATGGGTCGTCCTGGGGCGTGGGGTCGGAGGTCTGCTGCTGCCTGCTTGGGGGGGGATGACGCTGTTCGTCTTCTTTTCCCTCGGCAAGCCCCGGCCACGCGGTTTTCTCCGTCCGCCGGGCGCAGGTGGGAGCAGCGAAAGGCGGCTCCAGCAGCGCCAAGTTCATGTTCCCGCTCTCCCGCGGGGTTCCGGCAGCAGCCCCAGCGTGGTGCACCGATGCGGGTCCCTGCAGGGCTACTGTGCCCCCTGGTCAAGTGGCCGCAGCAGGCCTGGTGCTCAGGCAGTTCAGGCTCATCTGCCAGTTACAGGAGCCGAAGTTACTCTAAACCCTTAAAGTTTAGCTTCTCACAGCTTTGCGCGCAGCCTTCAGCTCTTTTAACGTTCCAGCTCCCACTTCTTTACTGATAACTCCCATGCCTATGGATTTATCTCAGCCTGTTGGTCTTCACCCACATCTCAGGGCAGCTCACCTGGAGAACCTGGTGATATTTTGCCTACTGTGATAGGGTTTTTAACGGCTCTCAACTCTTAATGATGCTGTCACAGGTGGCAGAATTAAACCCCAGAAGTGACCCCAGGAAGAGCTCAGCTCTTGGAATTCCTTGCTACAGGTAGGCTGCAGCAGCCTCACATCAGAAAGCCACTACCAGGCTGGGGCTTTACTGCAGAGCTGCAGAAGGATTCCAGTGCCAGAGGGATATCTGTGTACTGTGAAACTGTGAAACCAAGTAAAAACAGCTTAAACAGGCAGGGATCGCTTTTTAATTTAATTTTTTAACGAAGAAAAAAAATTTTTTAAAAAGCAGCAATAACAATTTTTGAAAGTGGCTTTTGGTAGACTTTGGGGACTAAGTTTATTTCAGAGTATGGTAAACTCTGCCATCTCAAGAAATTGTTATAGCTTGTGGACAACATTGTCACGAATGCAGAGATATGTGAGAAGTCTAAACATGACTTCGTGTCCAGCTACTCCTGCTTTACTATGATTCAGGGTTCATCCCAGCTGTGATTGTGCCTGTGTGTTTCTGGATTTCTGTTGGTTCCCTAGTTCGCCTCATGCTGCAGCAAAGAGGCCTGCAGTGTGTGCCGACCAGGCTGACTGACCCGACAGACCAGACTTGGTGTTATCATTTCCTATTGCCATCTCATGAGTGGAAACATGTGAGTGTGTGCACCTAAGGCTATGTGCCGCATTCTCTTTCAGAGATTGAAAAGTTGTTCCTGGTGCCCTACAAAAGTAACTGGTTACACTGTAACATGATTTACTATGTCTTTCCCAGGATGAGTGAAATCCCTGGGAACGACTCTAGACTAATGGACATATAGCTCTTTTTTGACTTAGCAAAAATATAGACGAAGTACTATTACCAATACATTTGTAGAGTTCTTTAAAAATTAATCATTCAAAAGTTGTATCTAAAATATCAAACTATTTTGAAGTGTGCCTGAAAGGAACCAGCAATCCAAATATTTTTTATAGTTAGATGTCTTCTAGAATGGATGAAGGATAGCTCAAAAGTACTAGCATCGCTCTTTTTTTAAATTTTTTTTGCTGCTTTTCAAAAAAAAATATTACTTTTGAGCTGAGAACAAATAAGAGAATTAGCACAGCCATAAAAAATGAGAAACAGACATAGATCTCATATCGTCATCTACCTTCAACTTGGTTTTGTTAAACAGTTTCATTTCAGTGTGTCCTGTCAGGCTGTTCCTTGTGCTGAGAAAATCATAACTTTTACTAGGTGATAAAAGTAGATAACAATGATAATAAGTAAAGACACAGAACATAATTTTTAAGTTGACAACATCTGCTTTAAGTTTCAGGGAGCTTAAAGGGCAACGTCATTGTACACTTAGACACTTTGCTCTATATCACTGTAACAAAATTATATTTTCTGGATTTGCCTTATCAACAAAAGGAAAGAGAAAAAAAATCTCATGAATTGAACTTAAAATCTGAAACTGCAGAAGTGATTTCTTATAAAATGCTGAGCAGGCATAATGTTAGAGGTTTTTTAATTGGAAGTCTAATGTGCCACTAGAGGTCCTTCATGGTCAGATTATATTTTCCTCCACAGCGTTTTAGGTTTTTTTACTATTTCTTTATCCATGCTACATATGAGAATTACAATCTCTAAATAAATTTATTTTGCTTAAAGTATTACATTCATAGAATCATAGAGTAATTTTTCCTTGATTAAGCTTTTGAAAATATTTTTTAAAATATCAAAAGAATTTTCCAAATAGCATTTCTTTAATAAAAGCTCTTGTTTTATTAAAAAATAAAATATTATTTATTTTTTACTTCAATAACTGCATGTTTTCACATTTCCTATTTTTCATTGTCTTATAACACCTCCTTAACATAACTGCTTTTCTCTTAAAAAAATAGAGGAAGAAAAGAAATATTGAACTAATGAGTGGAATTAGGATAAAAACCAGAACAATAAAACAATATGTACGGTAGTTTTTCTCCACTGCTTCATTATTTTCTTTTTTTTTCCTATTTAGAATTTGTTTAAAAATGTCTGAATGCTACTTTGAAGAACTGTGCAGCCTTGGGACTGAGATTAAATGTCTCACTGCAGAACACAACGTCATTTTGGGAAACTAGTAACAAAGATTTGTCATTCACTATTTTGAAATTGTTAGGAACTGAGGCCAAGAAATCCTTGCTGTTCCTGGGATGGCCATGAGCTGATAAGTCCTAATAGCTGCGCAAGAGGCAAATGGAATCACACAGTGTATCAGCTGGAATCAAGACAGAGATGTGTTAGACTATACAAAGTCCTGGGGAGACTTTTAATGAAAGATAGGGTTTGTGCTGGTTATTTGTATTCAAGAGAAATATGCAGAAAGATGCAAAAAGATCTGTAGGAGACCACAGGAGCTTGGCTCGTTAGTCTAGCAGAGGACACTGAGATAAAATAGGAATGCTGTCAAAAATGCAACTGAGAGCAAACCCTAGAAAGAAACGTTCTAAAATAAAACACAATGTTAGTATCAGGACAAACATGCACATATGAAATGTTATTAGGTTTAAACAGACAATTAGAAGGGTTCCTTACTAACATTTAAAAAAAAGCATTTGCAGATGAAGGAAATCACCATTTTAAAATTAAAATATTCTACCATTCTCTAAAATTAGCCATTAAAAAAAATTTAATCTAAGAAACATCACATTAAGCTACCCAATGCAAAACCCACCATATCCTGTGGTGCAGGGGTGGTTCTGCTGTCTCTACCAAGAATGAAATATGAAAAAGGATGTGTTTTCACATTGTAATGTCAGAAAAGGTATTAACTAAGCAAAATCAACTAAATAAGGAGTGAGAATTTAATTATGTGGTGAGTTTTATTTATTAAAAAATATAAAGAATAGAATTTATGCACTTGATTGTCATTGAAAGCCACTAGAGCCAAGAGAAATTGTAAGACAGAGTCGTTTTGGAGACAATCAATACGAGGTCACACAAGTCTATGCATCTGCAATTCTGGTCTCTCACACCATCTTCACTTCCTTTTTTACCTGAGGTGTGACCCACTGCTTGGAACTGCCCCCAGGAAAAAAAAAATGGGGGTTTTGCTGCAAATGAAGTGTTTCCAAGGCCCAAGTAAGCCTATGAGGGTTATTAATTTCAGTAATAATCAGCAAAATCTCAAAGGACACTGGCTTTTTACCCAGTTCAAACACATCTCCCTGAAATTTTTAATCTTTCAGCACTGACAGCAACATAAATGATAGTGAAAAAGCTAGTGGAACAATTGGAGATTACAGCTCCAAACCATGAGCTCAGTATCAGAAAGGCAGACATAATAAAGCCCAAGGACCATCAAAATTTAAATCTGCTTAGGATATATTGAAAGCATGGGGTTTTTTTCCGAAACTCTTTGTCCCTGAAATGAAGGAAACTGTTCCTCAACCCTCTGACAAACTTCTTTCTCTTAAGAGAATTGTATTCTCCCAGCGGTTTTATGGAATAGCATTTAACACCTCTGACTGCGCAGCTGCAGCTACAATAAGTCCTCTTTAACAGGCATCTTCTGCTCTTTAGGCTAAACAGAAGAGTTTGGGGTTTTATTAGTTAATGGCACTGATGACTACGAAAATAACATTTGAAAAGACCCAGCAAATTGCCTAGAGTTTCATCTATACAGACTGGGATACAACCCTATCTCAAGGTTTCCCACATTATTTAGGAATTATAATCTAATAAATATTCCTGAAGTTTGTGAAGACTTTGTGTTTTGTTTTGCAGGGAGAAACTCCTGGCAGTAAGAATTTGTGGGGACCACAGGGGTGTCCTTGGCTGCATTTCTGTCAGACTGGGCAAAGCAGACAACATGGTCATTCTGGCCTGCACTATTGCTTGGGACCTGATAATCCGGCGTGTGTTGTGTTCACCATTTAGTTCAAGCCTTCAGCATGTGATCCCTGCCCCACACTGGGATGGGGTGCTGGGGTCAAACCTTCTGGGTAGAACTGACTTTCCTTTTCTAGGATGGACCGCTGTGCTGAGCCTTCCACCTCTGGCTGTGAGGTCCTTCCCCTTCTCTTGTATCTGTCTAGTCCTGTAGAGATTGCCCATGCAGCTGGTTGAGCCACCAGAAAATATCTTGGGATTTGGGGGGGGTTGGGGTATTTTTATTAAATAACATCAGTGCTCTATTCACTCCTCTCTCTGCATTAAACTTCTGGTCATGGAGAGGACCTCCTGTTCCAGTACAAAAGCAGAGGCATAATGGGTAAAGAGTGGGAGTGACAAGAGCAACTCTGATGTAGATCCATTTTGTCAGGATTGAATTCTTCTTGGGAAAGCACATTTTAGCTGTACCTATTTTAAATAGAACCAGATTAAGTATTTTAGTCTTTAAATAAAATCACTAAACAGTCTGTTTATTACATTGACCCCATTTTTTTTAATCAGAATACCCTGTGATGCTGCATACAGACTGATATTACAGGAAAAATATAATCGGTGTAAATTTAATTGCAAAACTTTTCCATTCTGAGGTCCTTCTTAATTAAGACTGTGTAGTATTCATTTGATATTACATGCTTGTCTGTGATGAAATATCATCATAGT